TCTGTGTGTGTGTGTGTGTGTGTGTGTGTGTGTGTGTGTGTGTGTGTGTATAAAGAAGATGTTATATCTATAGATATATATATCTCCAGTCATCTGTCAGTAGATATTTAGGTTATTTCCATATCTTGGCTATTGTAAAGAATGCTACTATGAACAACATTGGGGTGCATGTATATATGTATATTTTGGAATTAAGAGTTTCCTCCAGATATGTGCCCAGGAGTGGGATTGCTTTAATATAGTCTAATTTTGTTTCTTTTTAGAAATCTCTACACTGTTTTACTATTGGTAAGTCTAGTTTTTATTTTTTAAGGAATCGCTATACTGTTTTCCAAGGACTGAAGATGAAATGGGACTTACGATTGGCACACAATAGTCATAGCTTTTAAAGTCATATTTTAATACACAACAGAAGATCCAGATTCTTATGGCAGGACTTAAAAGCCTCACAGTGATTCCCAGGATGCAATGCAAGCAGCTCTTCAGTGGGTTATGAATCCACGCTAACCATGTTTATTCCACCCCCTCCCCCACAAAAATCACCATAACTAGAACTTGTTTCCTTTATCTTCTCCTTATTTAATATTTTACTTGTTAAATTCTCTTTCTCCAAACATTTCTTATTTGCTTATTTCTAACTGTGAAATATGTAGATACTCGGGCCTTCCAAGAGAAGATTTATCCGTGACTCAGGCCCGCTGAAGACTCTTAAGGCAATAAAGACATCTGACTACAGGATGACATGTTTGGTGCCGCCACCTCTGTCTCACTAACACACAGATTCATACAGGAAGCTCTGTAAGCCTTTACTTACTTGATTAATATTAGTGTTGATAATGTTTTAGACCAAATTTCTACTTTTGTATCTGTTCAAAGATTATTTATTTATCAAGCAGCCACTGTGCCAGTCACAGAGAATGCAGAAATGAACAGAATCGGTACATTCCCTCTGCTTATGTTCTTTAGTGCATCCCCACCAAGAGGAAAGGAAATACACTAGGTGTCTTACATATTTCTTTCAAGATCCCTAAGCTTCAGATTCTAACAAAGTATTTTAACGATCATTCAGTAGAAAACACTTTTGATGCTGCAGTAAGACCTTGATGCTAGGAAGACCTTGAAGAAGATAACAATTTCCAATCTAAACTGAAGTTTCTGTCACTGATCCTGGGGCAAGTGAGTTTCTAATCTCAGTACAAGAGTGACCAGCACTGTATGGCGACCTGAGTAGGGTCCAATCTCGGGGAAGAAAGGAGACAGCTGTCAGTGTTATCTCAGTGATGAACACAACCACAAATAAGTGCATCCCTGTGTAAGACCACGGTGGGAATTCTGATTTAAAAAAATAAATAAAAATTAAAACATCTCCCTGAGCAGATTTAGAACAGATTCAAGTGAAGGACCTGAAAAGATGTAAAAACAAACAAGCAAAAGTTTAAAAGAAGAAATATTTCATTTTTAAAAATATCAACTGTTGCATTGGTGTCTTAGCCTGCATTTCTCCAAAGCAGATCCTGAGGCCAAGATATGCACATAAGTACATTTTTCTCTGGGAGGAGAAAAGATCGATACTGTGGAGCAGGAGCAAGAGACGAAAGTTTCACTGAGAAGATGGAAATTCATGGAAGATATATATATATATAAAGTTATATATATGAAGTTCCTTCATTATGTCCTTTGAGATTAAAGAAATTACTGATTTCCCCTCCCTGGGTAATGTGGGAATTTTGATACTGTGTGTCCCCATAAGGATACTTGAGTCTTACTCCTTTGTGTATGGTTGCAGTTCTCTATCCAGCCTAAACTGCAACACATTTTCTCTCCTGTAAAAG